TATATATATATATATATATATATATATATATATATATATATATGTCAATATCTCTAAAAAAGTTAAAATATATGTTTGTATATGTGTGTGTGATACGCTGATTTTAATGTGACGCCAAAAACGAAGTTTCCTGATGTCACTGTGGCAGTCAACGTGTTAACTTCTAAAGTTTATATGTTTTACCTAAATTGTGTATCTTACCGCTCACATTCCATGCACCTTCGTATTGAGGTGCGTAGGTCGAAACTCCGAACAGAAAATCCTTGGGAAAGGTGTTGTTATCTAGGATATCCTTTTCGAGTTTGACAGACACTCCTTGGACCGATCGAAATATGCATGGCAGCACTGCTAGTATAAAAATCATTACGAGGCTCGTGCACGTCATTGCGCCACGTATATTCCGCAAGATAAACCTAATGTAACTGCTATTATCTGGCAAGCGCGAGTCATGCCAATGGCGAAGTCAGGTCATTATGCGCTTAGTAACGTTTTATAGTAAATTTAAAATTCAATAACAGTCGTCATTATCATTTTAACGTAAAGATATTGTCAGTTAAATCGAAGGCATTAACCTCTTAAGCCAAGAAAGAAATGTTCATATCACGATTGAAATAATCAAATGCCTAGAATAAAGAATAAAATAATTTTTCATAAATTCAATTATTTTTACATGCTTATATTAAGTATAAATATAAATATAAGTATAAATATAAATAATATATAATAAATATAAGTAAAATAGTTAAAAAATCGAAATAAACATTATAAACATACTTGACAATATTACAAATTCTTCAATATTATTGTAGCAACGTTGTATTAATTATTTCTAGCTTACTGGGAGCTAAATAAAAGATATTTTACAATTAAATCTAAAATTTTATTATTCTACAGCTCAGTTAAAGTATGAGACTGTAATAACCAACGTCGAAAAAGATATTTATTTGCGATTATATTCAATTTTCCATATAAGATATATTTGTACCTACTTTATACATTTCTATGTACTTATTTAATTATAGAAGATGATAAACTATATTCCACTAAATATTATCTATCAATTATGGTGAATCACTTAATATTATAGTGAATGTAAAATTTATTAGGCTTTGTAAATTTAATTTAAGGTAAGCCAACATTATTCTTTACAATTCATAAAGCATTGTTGCTCTGATATTTCCACATCAGAATATTTATTCTCAATTAAGGTAGCATATACTGTTAATGCATTGTGTGATCGTGTTGCAAAGCTCATAAATTTTAACTTTCCGTATTTATTAAGCAAATGAAATGTGCAAGAATATACACTAGATTTTAACACAATTTTAACACAGTTTTAAGACAATTTTAAATAATCCAAATATGCATTGTTTTTACTGTAATATTTGAATCCTATTTTTACAATCAATTTTTCAACCTGTTACTTTCCTACTCAAATTAAACGTTCTATTTTAAAAAGTTTCTATGTATCTAATATATTTATTTATTATTATGAGTGACTATTAAATAGAAACATCGCAAGTACAAAGAAAAATGCCTTTTATTAAAAACATTCATAATTCGTTTGTACAAATAACACATATTTTATATCATATACAGTAATGTTATCAGCGTAAAATCGTATACAAATATTCCAAATCGTTTAGTAAGGTCGCTATAAAACAAATGTGTTACGATAGACAGTTACATAATGATTACGAAAATATACAGAACCAGTCTCCAAATCCCTCCACGGTCTCCAAGATGTAAAAGGATTTTGAGCACTATAGAGAGGTTGTATATGCGGACCTAAAATTTGTTTTGAAATAGACACATTCTGTTCTGCTTTTTCTGCTGATATGGTAGTTAAAATTAACGGACAGTGTCTAATCCGTGATAAAAATATGCTCCGCGAACATGTCCACTCATTACTAAAATCTGCTTGAAATTCTATAATTACATCTGGTCTTTTAAAGGACGGACCAGCTACATATATATGGTAAAATTTATTATAAATTTCAACATGAAGCACTATCTTCCTGTTCTTGCAGATATAACAAAGTTCTATGTCATAATGATCCTCCTCAAAATTTGGCCCTACTAGTACAATTGTTAGATCCTTTATGGGAGATAAGAGATGTAAAAGAATTTCCCAAGCATTGAAATATACTCTTTCTAAGGCATTTAGTGCTACTATGTGAATAACATATTTAATTCCAAATTTTTTAGATGAGTGTAGTATATATAAACCAGCATTCATTATACCACTAATAAATGTTAACGGTCCTGAGACATAATCATAGTAGAAATATTCAGAATTCGTTGCATCTGTATCATTTTTTCGTACGAGAGGGCACACATATGATGCAATAAATGCGTTTATGTCACTAAAATATATTCCTCGACCATAAAGATTAGTGAATTTTTGCACAGTGAATTTGCATACAAGAGCCAAGAAATTAATGTTGATATATAATACAAAATGTTGGCATTTTGACTTATGCAAACTTTGAAATATATGTATATGGTCAATGCAATAATATTCCGAATAACACGTTCCACAATGTACCAAATTAATCTGTCTATGACAAATAGAGCATGATTTTGCAAAAAGAATCATCTGTTCTTCATACGGCTTTAGCTTACGTGGAATCCATTTTTTAATTGTGCTTAAAAATTGTTGTCTTAACGTGATCCAATTAGTTAAACCTAAAGCACAGTCTCGACCTATTTCATTCTCTCGTAAGAAGCGTTTTATATATCCACAAATCTGCATATGTTGTGGAAGATGCAACAATCTGTGTTCAGGAGTGCAATAGAAGATCAAATCGCACAGATTACATGATATAAAACATCCATTGTTTAGTTTCATGCAGACATGGCAAATGTTTTCGTGAAAGAAGCTATTATAATTATTAACATGTGAACGGATTTCGTTCACATTACTTTAGTAAAATAGTTCATGGTAGAATATTTTGTTTGGCGTATGATATCAATTTAAAAATGAAGTGTGTTGCTTGTTGTAATAGAAATAATGTCTATCTACAGCAGATTTATAACTGAGCAGCTTACAATTCAGATCTATAACAGACGACTGTAGAAACGGCATTAAGAAGTCCTCTGTTTCGCTAGTTAATATTGACAAACTGATTTGAGTATTTAAAAATATAACGAAATACGAATAACCGTTATAGAATAGAATGTTGTACATAGACGCGCATGGGATACTTATAAATTTTTATTACATGTAACTTGTGTATCAAAACAAAATATTGAAGAAGAAGGGGAGAAGTTGAAAGTTTTTGAATAATCATTAATATGTTGAAAACGTGAAAATATGAGATATTGTTGATATGTATATACCTTACTAACAAATATATACAGATGGTATACATATGCCCTGTAAACAATATATAGGGTGAGTCATTTTAATCGAATCAGACAAATATCTCGAAAAATATGGAAGATACTGAAAAATATTTCAAACAAAAGTTATATAATTCGGAGGGGGACATAAGATGGTGCAATTGGCTTGACCCTGTATAGTCGTTTGAAAGTCACGTTCAAATTGAAGATTACCTTCAATTTCTTAAATAGAAACCTCCATTTTTCATTGCACATTCTTGTAGCTTACCTCGAGAGCTTTCCAAAACACTGTGATAAAATATTTTTTTCATTAAGTATCTTTTGAGTTAAAAGGCTTCAAAATTACAGTATTGTTGCCATTAGCATTGGTATTCAAGGTGTTCGACCGACAACTAAAACCTTTTGAATGTTGTTCAGGGTCATGATCTTGACAACATTTGTTCAAGGCAATTGGAGACTGTTCCTAATATTTTCATTTCTTCAAATTTTACAGTGGAAACAAAAGTAATAATTTAAAATCATAGGATAACATGTGGAGTCCGATTGACTCTAAAGGATCATATGAAGATTACAATGCTATGATTATTAAAGAAATTTATTAATGGGATTTCACACGTGTGCTTCTTTGTGGCCCCGACGTAGCATTGTGACCTTCATGATCCTTTAGAGTCAATCGGACTCCACGATCGGATTACCCCATGATTTTAAATTATTATTTTTGTTTTCACTGAAAAATTTGAAAAAATAAAAATATTAGGAACAGCCTTCCATTGTCTTGACCTTGACAAATGTTGTCAAGATCATGGCCCTGAACAACATTCAAAAGATTTTAGCCATCGGTCGAACACCTTGGATACTAATGCTAATGGCAACAATATTGTAACTTTGAAGCTTTTAACTTGAAAGATACTTAATGAAAAAATATTTTATTAGTGTTTTGGAAAGCTCTCGAGGTAAGCTACAAGAATAATGAAAAATGGAGGTTTCTATTTAAGAAATTGAAGATAATCTTCAAGTAACTTTCAAACGACTATCCAGGGTCAAGTCAATTGCACCATCTTATGTCCCCCTCCGAACCATACAACTTTTGTTTGAAATATTTTTCCGTAATTTCCATATTTTTCGAGATATCTGCCTGGTTCGATTAAAATGACTCCCTATATATATAATACCGTAAAAATTGAAAAATATATGTCAAGGTAATTAATAAATTTCTGATTTAAACTGGCTTAATATGGATATCGATATAAATATATTTAATATAGGACAAGTTTATGACGCCCCACAATAAAACATAAAACTTTATAATCTTATTCTGGAAATTAATGTAAACAGAATATCCTAATTACAAATATAATATCGTAATGTCGTAAAATATATTACTTTTATCGCTCTTTCCAATATTCTGTATATTTTCGTGGATATATGCCTTCAGTTAGGATTCCGATCAATCATACTCCACTAGATATTAACTATTAAATGTAAATCTTTAATATATTTAACTTGTAAATTAGTTAATAAAGACTAGACCTTATAAACCAACTTTTTTCTTTTTGTAACAACTCGCATGGTATCTGTGCCTTAACTTTTGCTATATTTCCGCATACAAAGAAAATCTAACATGTATTATTAAAATATTATACGATAGTTTTGCGACATTGCAAAAATTATAATTTCAACTTTCTTAAATATTATATTTTTAACTTTCTCTAGTAATTATGTAAATTATGTACACGAAAGATAAACAAGGATTTTGAAGGAAGGCATGTATCAAGACAATTCTTATGTACATATTATTGGAATACTTTGTTTATGTTTACTGAAGTATATATACAATGTGTCTCACACTCCTCCGGGCATTTTGTGGAAACCTAGAACAGGTGAACATAAAAGTCCTATACCGTTGTGCGATATTCGCAATATTTATCGAGATATTAATAGTAGAAAACTCGTAAACGATCATGCAGAATATGTGGTAAATGAGTTATAGTAGCGACGACTGTCGTCGTGCACTTATACTTTAGGACAAATTGAACAAGAAAGTCCTCTACCACTTTCCAAATAATCACATAGGTTTTTAATTATTAATTAAAGAAGATTATTGCACGATTTTGCATGATAATGCACCCATTTTCTTTAATTAATAATTAAAAATCTATGTGATTATTTGCAAAATGGTAAAGGACTTTTTTGTTCAACTAGACCTAAAGTATAAGTACACAACGGCAGCTATCATAACTCATTTACCATATCCTGCATGATCATTCACCAATTTTGTACAAATAATATCTTGATAATTATTGTGAATATCGCGAATGGTATAGAGCTTTTATGTTCACATGTTCTACGTCCCCACAAAATGTTCAGAGAAGAGTGTGAAACACCCTGTATATGCGCCGTATTTCCAAAAACCGTATATTTAAACTGTTTCTTCCATAGTAAAATTACATTAAAATGCCATTTGTACAGCTTTCTATGGATGTAGAGGTTTTGTTTATTATTATTAGTACTCTTTAAGTAAAAACAGTGACAAGTACAATGTCTACAGATGAACATAAAACATATTTTACAACAGACATGTTCTGTTCTGTTTTTATTACTGAATGTGTGTATCCTCACAGAAAAAAACCATAAGAAAAAACTATCTATTTATCTACGGCGTTACAGTCCTCAAAAGGATCTTGGCCTCAGAAAGAAGCTTTCTCTACTCCACCCTGTCTACAGCCCTCGCTCTCCAATTGCGCATTCCTAGTTTATTGATATCCTCCATCACTGCACACAACCATTGGAATTTTCCCCTCGGTCTTTTGGTTTCTGTGGAGCTTTCGGAAACCGTCCTACATGGGTTGTTTTCCTTCATCTTGCTGACATATCCCAGCCATCTCAACCTACTGTACCTTTTGATGTATGTGACTATATCTAAGTCTCCGTAGAATTGGTACAGCTCTACGTTCTTCCTTCTTTTCGTTTTTCTCTAGTTTTCTTGCGCTTAGAATTTTTCTTACAATCTTCCTTTCAAAGCTTTCCAAGAATTTAACATCTCCTGTTTTTAGGATCCATCCTTCTGAACCGTATGTGATGGTTGATCTTATCAGTGTTTTGAAAATTCTTATTTTAGTGGCTCTTAGATCTTAATAGCCTTGCTACTCCAAAATAGATTTTGTTAGTAATCGATAATCTTTCTTTGATTTCCGATGTCTCATAGTTGTCTAAGGTTAGGACTGACACAAGGTACATGAACTGGTTCACCACCTCAAATCTGTAATTACCGATTTCTAATCATGGTCCTATCTTTTTAAGCTGTGTGATTTCTAGTAACTATCATGAATTTCGTCTTCTCCGCATTAATGACTAGGCCCACTCTCCTTGCCTCTTTCTCAACTGCCTCAAAGCTTTTCCTTACTACCCTAACGCTGCGTCCCGAAATGTCAAGTTTTTCCGCGTAACGAAGAATCTGTGAGCTCTGGTTTATTAATGTGGTTGATCCCTTGATGTTTCCTCTCCTTATTACTGCTTCCAGCACGAGGTTGAACAATAGTGGTGCTAGCCCGTCGCCATGTTTGATCCCTTTCTCTATTTGTATGTTTTCTGAGATTTTACCATTAACTTTGACTCCTCCTTTCGCGGTTTCCGTCATCGCCATGCACACCCTTACCAATTCATTTGGTATTTTTAATTCAATTAAAACTTTCCATATTGCATTTCCGTCTAAACTGTCAAAGGCCGTCTGGAAGTCGATAAATAGGTGGTAAGTCGTGATGTTGTGTTCCCAGAATTTTTCGAGGAAGTGTCTCATAATGAAGAGTTGGTTCACCGTTGGTCTACAACCGCATAAGTATTCATCCAATATTTCCTCATAAACCTTTCCTAGTTTTTCACGGATTATGTGTGTGATCATTTAACAGGCGGTGTTTAAAAGGGTTAATGCTCTGTAATTCTTACAGTTTGTAGTTTTCTTATCATATTTTTTCGTAAGTGTACATGAGTGCGCATTACATGTGATGCAGTAGAAATGTGAAAATGCTCCGGGTACTACGCATATTGAGATATTTAATATGTAAAAGGAGTTATTCGATCATATTTGGTACAAAATTACACAAACTGAATTTCTGTCAAAATGAGGCGATTTGTTACATTCATTTAGCGGTTATATATTAGTTATTTCGGTAAAAAAAAAATGTATCCGGAGCATTTTATAAGTATGTAGAACAAATTGCATGCATCACTTTAACGATATACCTTTTTATTTAACGGTTCGTAGGATTATGGACAAGGGATTTTTCGTTTTTGACGTCATCAATTCAATAGGACCGCAGTGACTGATGAGCCTTAAAGAAAAATTTTTCCAAGAAGATATTGAAAATTTTCTATTAAAATAAAAAATTGTGCAATTATTTAAAAATTATTTAAATATTGTGCAGTTATTTAAAAACTGCAAATACACTAAAATCCGTTAGTCCACTTTTGACTTGTGACGTGGCAGCCTCGGAGGCGCCCGTCCCAAGTAAAACCGTACCGACTTGGTGAATGTTTCTTGCGTATCGTGTCGCGAACGGCTTTTCGCGAACATTATCGGTTATCGCGTCCCGGCGTATTTATGTTTGTGAAAGTCTTTAGGACAAATATTGGAAGCGAACTTTGCGGGCGGAGCAGATTCGGAGGGTCTCGCGTCCCTAAATTTATGCCCCTCGGCTTCCCTTGTCGGCCACCAAAACTAAAGAAGCGGAGGACATCGAGGGACGAGGATTCAATCGTTTTTGTGCCAGTTTTTGTACTAGTTAAAACCAACAGACAGTGTCTAATCTGTGTAAAAGTATACTCCGCGAACATGTCCACTCATTACTAAAATCTGCTTGAAATTCCATAATTATATCTGGTTGTTTAAAAGATGGATCGGCCACATACATATGATAAAATATATTGTAAATTTCAACATGAATAACTGAATTCCTGGCTTTGCATTTAACGCAATGCTTTATATCATAATAATCCTGCTCAAAATTTGGTCCTACTAGTACAATTGTTAGGTCCCTTATGTGACGTAAAAGATTTAAGAGGATTTCCCAAGCATTTAAATCTTCCCTTTCTAAGACATTTAGTGCTATCATGTGAATAATACATTTAAATGCAAACATTTGAATTGAGTATTTAATAAAATTTGAATTGAGTATAGAAATATAACTGCTTAACAAAAATTCCTGTTCACTTTTTAGATCTGTAAAAAACGATTGCAAGATAATACTAAAGTGGTACAAGTCTTCTTATCTGCCACGATCATTACACAGACAGTATTCCTTTAAGAAAATCTATTGAAGTTTTTTAAAGTTACTTAATTTATTTTAAAGCATTTTGCAGTTTACTGACAGTTATAAAATGTGCAAGAATATACACTAGATTTGAACACGTTTCAATACAATTTTTAATAATCCATATATGCATTTTTTACTGTAATATTTGCATCCTATTTTTAAAATTATATTTTTATGTTGTTATTTTCCTACTCAAAATAAACGTACAATTTTAAGAAGTTTCTATGTATCTAATATATACGTTTATTAATACCAGTAACTATTAAATAAAAAACATCGCAAGTACAATGAAAAGTGCCTTTTATTAAAAATATTCATAATTCGCTTGTACAAACAATACATATTTTATATTATATTCAGTAATGTTATCAACGTAATACTAAAATCGTATACAAATATTTCAAATTGTTTAGTAAGGACTCGATAAAAGAAGTGTGTTACGATAGACAGTTACATAATGATTACGAAAATATACAGAACCAGTCTCCAAATCCCTCCATGGCCTCCAAGATCTTAAAGGATTTTGAGCACTATAGAGAGGTTGTATATACGAACCTATAATTTGTTTTAAAATAGACACGTTCTGTTCTGCTTTTTTTGCCGATGTGGTAGTTAAAATCAACGGACAGTGTCTAATCCCTGATAAAAATATGCTCCGCGAACATGTCCACTCATTATTAAAATCTGCTTGCAATTCTATAATAACATTTGGTATTTTAAAGGACGGACCGGCTACATACATATGGTAAAATGTATTATAAATTTCAACATGAATCACTGCATTCCTGTCCTTGCAAGAAACACAAAGTTCTATGTCATAATGATCCTGCTCAAAATTTGGCCCTACTAGTACAATTGTTAGATCCTTTATGGGAGATAAGAGATGTAAAAGGATTTCCCAAGCATTTAAATATTCTCTTTCTAAAACATTTAGTGCTACCATGTGTATAACATATTTAGTTTCAAATCTTTTTAGTGAATATAAACCAAAATTCATTATTCCATGAAAGAATGTTAACGGTCCTGATATATAATCACAGTAGAAATATTTAGAATTCATTGCAGCTATGTCAACTGATGCGCGAAGATTCACATATGATCCAATAAATGTATTCATGTCACTAAAAGGTTTTCTTTGATAAATAATATTAGTGAATTTTGACTCAGTGAATTCGCATAAAAAAGCTCCGATATTAATGTTGATATACAATGTAAAATGTTGGCATTTTGGCTTATGCAAACCTTGAAATTCCTGTATATGCTCACTGCAATAATAGTCCGAATAACACGTTTTGCAATGTTCCAAATTAATCTGTCTATGACAAATAGAGCATGATTTTGCAAAAAGAATCATTTGTTCTTCATACAGCTTTAGCTTACGTGGAATCCATTTTTTAATTGTGCTTAGAAATTGTTGTCTTAACGTGATCCAATTAGTTAAACTTAAAGCAGTCTCGGCGTATTTTATTCTCTCGTAAAAATCGGATTATATATTCACAAATCTGTACATGTTGTGGACGATGCATCAGTCTGTGTTCAAGAGTGCAATAAGAGATCATATCGCACAGATCACATGATATAAAATATCCATTGTTTACTTTCTTGCAGACGTGGCAAATGTTTTCGTGAAAGAAGCTATTATAATTATTAATATGTGAACGGATTCGGATATCGTTCACATCAATTACTTTAGAAAAATAACTCATGGTGGAATATTTTGTTTGACGTATGATATCAATTTAAAAATGAAGTGTGTAACTTCTTGTAATAGAAATAATGTAGTTGTCTGTCTACAGCAGATTTATAACTGAGCAGTTCACAATTCAGAGCTATATAGACGACTGTAGAAACGGCATTAAGAAGTCCTCTGTTTCGCTAGTTAATATTGACAAACTGTTTTGGGTATTTGAAAATGTAACGAAATACGAATAACTGTTATTGAATAGAATGTTGTACATAGCGCGCATGGGATACTTATAAATTGTTATTACATGTAACTTGTGTATCATGAAAAAAAAAATATATATAATACCGTAAAAATTGATATATATGTTAAGTTAATTAATAAAAATAAATTATAGCTCTAAACTGGCTTAATATGGATATCGACATAGATATATTTTATATAAGCCAAATGCATGACGCCCCACAATAGAACACAAAACTTTATAATATGATTCTCGAAATTAATGCGAACAGAAAATCCTAATAACAAATATAATATCGTAATATCGTAAAGTATATTTCTTTTATCGCTATTTCCAATATTCTATATATTTTTGCAGGTATATGCTTTCAGTTAGGATTCTGATCAATGATAATCCACTAGATATTAATTATTAAATGTACTTCTTTAATATATTTAACTTGTAAATTAGTTGAGAAAAACCTTTTAAACTAACTTTTTTCTTTTTGTAACAACTCGCATATTATCTGTGCCTTAACTTTTACTATATTTCCGCATATAAAGGAAATCTAACATATAATATTAAAATATTATATGATTGTTTTGCGACATTGCAAATATTATCATCTCAACTTTCTTAAATATTATATTTTTAACTTTTTCTAGTAATTATGTAAATTATGTACACGAAAGATGGAGCAAGGATTTTGAAGGAAGACATGTATCAAGGCAATTCTTATGTACATATTATTGGAATATTTTGTTTATATTTACTGAGGTATATATATGCGCCGTACTTTCAAAAACCATATATTTAAACTGTTTCTTCCATAGTAAAATTACATTAAAATGCCATTTTTACTGCTTTCTATTGAGGTAGAGTTTTCATTTATTATTATCAGTACTCTTCAAGTAAAAGCAGTAACAATGTCTACAGATGAACATAAAACATATTTCACAACATAAAACATATTTTACAACAGACATGTCCTGTCTAAACTGACTATAACTGTCTATAACTGACATATTCTGCTTTTATTACTGAATATGTGTACACTTACGGATGAAAACCGTAAGAAAAAACTATTAATTTTTCTGCGGCGTTACAGTCTTCCAAAAGACCTTGGCCTCAGAGAGAAGCTTGCTCCACTCCACCCTGTCTACAGCCCTCGCTCTCCAATGGTGTATTCCTAATGTATTAATATCCTCCATCACTGCGCACCACCATCGGTGTCTTCGCCTCGGTCTTTTGCCTTCTGTGGAGTTTTCGAAGACCGTCCTACATGGGTTGTTTTTCTTCATCATGCTAACATGTCCCAGCTATCTCAACCTACTGATTTTGATACATGTGAGTATATCTAAGTCTTTGTAGAATTGGTACAGCTCTATGTTCTTCCTTCTTCTGTACTTGTTTTTCTCTAGTTTTCTTGCGCCTAGAATTCTCCTTAGAATCTTTCTACCGAAGGGTTTCAGGCATTTAGCATCTCCTGTTTTAGGATCCATGCTTCTGAACGGTATGTGATAGTTGGTCTTATCAATGTTTTGTAAATTTTTATATTAGTGACTCTCGACAAATCCTTCGATCTTAATAGCCGTAGTACTCTAAAATAAGTTTTGTTGGCAATCCCTAATCTTCTTTTGATTTCCGATGTTTCATAGTTGTCCGAGGTTAGGACTGACTCGAGGTACGTGAACTGGTTCACTACTTCAAATCTGTAATTACCGATCTCTAACCATGGTCCTATCGTTCTTTGGGCTGTCTGATTCCAGTAATTATCATGAATTTCGTCTTCTCCGCATTAATAACTAGGCCCACTCTGTTTGCCTCTCTCTCAATTGCCTCAAATCTTTCTCCCACTGCCATAACGCTGCGTTCCGCAATGTCAAGGTTGTCCGCGTAACGAAGAATCTGTGAGCTCTGGTTTATTAATGTGGCTGATTCCTTGATCTTTCCTCTCCGTATTACTGCTTCCAGCACGAGGTTAAACAGTAATGGCGCTAGCCCTTCACCATGTTTGATCCCTTTCTCTATCTATATAATTTCTGAGATTTTACTTTTAACTTTGACTCTTCCTTTCGCGATCTCCGTCATCGCCATGCACAACCTTACCAATTCAATTGTTATTTTTAATTTAATTAAAGCTTTCCATATTGCACTTCCTTCTAAACTGTCAAAGGCCATCTTGAAGTCAATAAACAGGTGGTAAGTCGTGATGTTGTGCTTCCAGAATTTTTCGAGGAGATGTTTCATGATGAAGAATTGGTCCACCGTTGACTTACTTTCTCTAAAATCGCATTGGTGTTCACCCAATATTCTTTCCTCGTAGATCTTTCTTAGTTTTTTACGAATTATGTGTGTGATCACTTCATAGGCGCTGTTTAAAAGGGTTAATGCTCTGTAATCCTTACAGATTGTAATGTCCCTCTTCTTTGGTACGAGGTGGATGATTCCTATGGTCTAGTCATCTGGCAACTCCCTTTTGCACTTCCAGATGCTAGCGATAATCTTATGTAGTATCATTGCTGTTGTCATGCCCGAATGTTTTATCATGTCTCTGGAGTGTTTTTATCAAGAAAAAACTACTGAGAATAATATAGGAAAACTGTTGAAGCACTATTGAAAAATATTGGAAGACAACTGTATACGTATTATAACACTATTGGAAAACTATAGCAACCTATTCGTTAATTTAATAAATAAGTTTAATATAAGTTTTCAATTGTTAAAATAGTAGTATTTTCGCTAATCGACAAAAATACTACTGTTCTCAGTAATTTTCTTATCACATTTTTTCGTAAGTGTACATGAATGTATGTACATTACATGTGATACAGTTATAGAAGTATAAAAATGCTCCGGATACTACGCTTGTTATGATATTTAATACGTAAGAAGGAGTTATTCGGTCGTATTATAACAAAATTACACAGCTGACATTCTATAAAACGAGGCGATTTGTTATATTTATTTGGCGGTTATATATTAGTTATTTCGGTAAAAAAAATTGTATCCAGAGCATTTTATAAGTATGTAGAACAAATTGCAAGCATCATTTTAATGATATACCTTTTATTTAGCGGTTTGTTGGAATTATGGACAAGGAATTTTTCATTTTTGACATCATCAATCCAACAGAGCCACAGTGACTGAAGAGTCTTAATGAAAAATTTTTCAAAGAATATATTGAAAACATTTTATTGTTAAAATAAAAAATTGTACTTATTTAAAAAATTAAAAATTATTTAAATATTTTGCAATTATTTAAAAACTGGAAATAGACTAGAATCCGTTAGTCCACTTTTGACTTAAATGGTTTTTGTGCCAATATGTTAGTTAAAATCCACAGACAGTGTATAAGCCGTGATAAAATTATGCTCCGCAAACATGTCCACTCATTAGTAAAATCTGCTTGAAATTCCATATCTACATATGGTTGTTTAAATGACGGACCGGCTACATACATATGGTAAAATGTATTATGGTAAATTTCTATATGAATCACTGAATTCCTGCCTATGCATTTAGCACATATCTTTATATCCTTATAATGACCCTGTTCAAAATTTGATCCTACTAATACAAATGTTAGATACTTTATGTAACATAAGAGATGTAAGTGGATTTCCCAAGCTTTTAAATATTCCTTTTCTAAGGCATTTAGTGTTACTATGTGAATAATACACTTAAATACAAACATCTGAATTCAGTAAAGTATTTAATAACATTTGAATTGAGTATAGAGATATAACTGCTTAACAAATATTCTTGTTCATTTTTCAGATTTGTAACAAACGATCGCAAGACAATACTAAAATGGTACAAATCTTCTTTTCTGCCACGATTATTATACAAACGGTATTGTATTTGAAGATGTAATACTCCACGAATATATATAACCGTTAAACTAAATAGAATATCGCAAATAAGCTCGTATATTTATAAGTTTTTATCACATGTAAATAGCAAAACGAGAATAACACACAACGAAGAGGAGAAAGTTGAAAGTTTTGAAACTATTGTTAATAATATTGAGAAAGTGAGAGTTTGAATTATTTTTGTTTTATGTATGTCTTACTGATAAATATTTGTACAAATTGTACCCAATTACGCATTCTAAGTAAAGCGCAATACTATATGAAAAAACATGTATTATATTAAATATTGTGAATTATGTTATATTAAAACTCTCTGAGTTAACTTTATATAGTTACCATTAAAGGAGACTTTTATACGCTAAGTAAAACATGTTTAAAATTTAATCTAAAATTTTATTATTTTGCAGTTCAGTTAGAGAAACTGTAATAACCAATATAATGTCGAAAGAGGTATTATTTACGATTATACT